ATTTCCTCAAAGGTATTTTTAATCTGAAAAGAGCTTCACTGAGTGAGAAGTAATGTTGAGAGCAGCAGACAGTTTAAGTTTCACTTTCACTTTGACAGAGCCTGCAGGAGTCATGGGCGGTGGTGTGTGGGTAGGGAGGGGGAGGGGGTGGTGCTCCGCCATGGGGAAGTTCGGCTTAAAAACACGTCCCAGGGGCATTTCTGTTACCAAAAGGCATTTCTGGTCCCCACCTGTCGTTTTGCTCCTCAGCATGGCTGCCAAAAAACGCTGCAGTATTTCTCAAACATGCATGAATGAGTCAAAGCAAGGCTTTGGACATGTTCTTTTTTATGAGAGGATAAGATTATAACATGATATAAAACTGAAAAAAGTTGATTTTACATGAAATAGCCCCTTTAAGTTCAAACACAGCTAAGCCAGCAAACTGTGGTTGAAACTAATGAAGCTGCTGCAAGAGTTTGTGAGCACACTGGTGCTAAGAGGACGTATACATAACTACTAGTGTTCTAAAAGTACCGGTAGCCTGAGTTGAGTTCCTCATTCAAGATGACCATCACTTTTATGTCAAGAAAAGTGCTTTCACACAAAAGTAGCTATAATACAGATGTTGRGCTAACATGACATAAGTTGCTGACAGTCAATCACAACACAAATCACAAGATCTCACAAAACTGAATGAGATGGTGCGTAACTTCATTTACATTGTTTGATCAAATCAGTTATAAATCTGTCACTTAATAAAATGATTTTAGTTTAAAATTTTGGCTCAAAAGACTGAGAGCATATTTTCAAGGCATGCTAGGCCTTTCCTTTTTTTTCCTATTAYCTTTACTTGATTGAACATATAAACACATTTTAAGCAAAATTGTCTTTTAAAAAAGTCAGTCATTTTGCAATTTCCTTTGATTAAATGTTTGTTTTATTTCATAATAACCTCGACAGATTCTGTTTAAATTCTGATCTAAATTGCTTTCTGAGACTCTTTAGAAGTAGATTAAAACAGTGTGGTCTCTAYCTTGCAGTCACTGAGCATTTCAAGCATAAAATCCCCAATACCCTTGGCAGATATGTAATCAGCAATGCTCCAAACATTGGTGCCAATTTTCTTTTTCCCACAACACATTTCTTTCTTTTCTCATTGAAAATTTGAGTAATTGTAACATTATTTTATACGATTATGTGATCTTTTCTTTTCTTTCTTTCTTTTATGAATGAATGTACACTGTAGCACTGGCTTGTTAATAGTTTCACTTGTTAAATAAAATTTCTTAAAACTGAAAAAAGGGTGTACTTCCTTTTAAATGATGGTTTGAGTCTGCAGGAGTAAAGTATATATAAAAGGTTTATTTTGATCTATTTTTTAAATAATTACAAGCAGTTATTATTATTTTTTATGATTATATTAACTTGTATAAACACATATTTATTAATCTTTCACCCAGTCTTTCAATTCTTGCTTATTTCCTGCAAAGCTTTCTCTGCCACAGACTCTTACTTTTGTGTTTGATGCTTTAACAATACAAACAAACCACAACAATAAAAATGTTAGTGTTCCCTAAATCCTAATATATTTAAGCATTTATAATCTTTTAAACACTTTTGCTGTTAGAAATGACTCCACACACACTGGGGAGAAAAGTCTGATTAGGTGTAAAATCGAACGCATAAAAAAATCCTGCTGGTGTTATATTTCCAACATTACAGATGGAGTTTTCTGCTAATTACTCTGGTGTTTATTCATGCTAATCCTCATGTTTTGCTGCACAGATCATATATTTATGAGTTCTCTGCTATTCACTGTAGCACGATTGTGTTCCCCAAACTAAGAAACAGAGATTTKTCAATGGGTTGTGTTCAATTTTGAATTTTAGACATTTGTTTAATTCACAAATATTTACACCTCAGATGTTTCTGTCAATCAAACGGTATCTCTAATGGCACTGTTTGAAGACATTTAAATGCAGTGTTATTCATGCATTGAAAATAAAACCCACCTAAATATGTTTAAACAGTAGTGAAGGCAAAGAACATTTGATTTAAAGAGTGTTTGTTACAWGCAGTTTGCATCAACTCTATCTCAGTTGATTGCATTTTAGAATAGGAAACTAAAGATGTTTAGCAGTATGCTTCCTTGTTATCAACACCGAAATCATGGCAGACATGTTAAAAAAGGTATGTCACCCTTGTGGTAAAGTTCTGGAACAATTTGAAGMATAGGTAGAGTCAACATTTTTGAAGTCATGTTCACAAATGATGGAAGGATGGAAGGAGGCTGGAAAAAGATCACCAGATCAGGGCCTCATCTGCAGCAATGAGGTGTTGGTCCAAACTGTTGAGCTAAAGAAGGAGCTGAGCCAAAGGCAAAGCTCTCAATTTACTGGTCCGTCTACATTACAACCCTCGCTAATGGTTAGGGTTACAGAGGCTAAAGGTTTTGGAGGGAACCCCAAACACTGTTTCCGAATAACACCCTGCAGCTCTTTCTAGGAGATAAGGTGTAACCAGGCCAAGAAAGTTCTAATCTCTCCAGTGAGATTTGTCTCTGCCCTGAAGTCTCATTCCAACGTTTGGGTGGAAAACCACCAAATGTGCTTCATAAACAGACACTCKAACCACCTTAAATGAATACTTTCAATGAGAAAGAGCAGTGGCTACTCTGAATTCACTCAGAATTATGGAGCTCACCTTATCTCCAAGTCTAAGCTTCACCRTAAAGACCATTTCAGCTGTTCCTGCACATGATTTTCTTCTTTTTGTCATGTTCCAAATCTCATAACCAAGGATACGTGAGAGAAAATAAATGTGTGGAGAATCAGAGCTTTCAGTCACAGGTGGCTGCAAATAAATGACAAGGTTGGAATGTGTCAAAGGTATTCAGTTGGTAGCTGCTTCATAGGCCCAAGGTTATGCTTTCAATTATAAAATGAGCTACTTTTGTTTCGTGCTTTTTGCTTTTTAAGTCAAATACTGCGGTTTGGAACTGGAAAGAACTACTTTTTCAAAACTTGATGAACAAAAATCGCAATATTAACCAGTATCACATATTAAATCTGACAAGCACAAATCATCTTATTGATTAAGCCTTGCTTTAGAAAGTATATGTTCAATCTATCATGAAGGGAAGTTAATTGACCATTAACTATCAAATWATTAGCTTTTCATCAAAAAAAAAATCCTAGAGTTTATCATTAGGGAATGGTTTATTGGCAAGTAGTTACTGATTTATTTGTTAGCTTATACTGTAAGAAAGTAGTTTTTATGACTTTATTTTTAAGTGTTACCAAAAATCTATTTATTGTCATTATCTTTATAAATATAAAAAGTCTTAGCAGTCATTTAACGTTATTAAACACATAAAATACAAATGTTTTTGTACATTTTAATTTCTTTAAAGATTTTAATCTTTATCATCTAAATGTATGCTCACATTATCTAATAGCATATGAATCATTTGCTCTCTTTTGAGCCAAACCTTAAGGCATATATGTGCTACTAATGAAAGGAAAATAATGGCTCTCCACATCCTTTCAGGCATCTTTTCAATCAGCTCACTGTCTGGCAAATGAGAGTCCCTGTTAAAGACCCTCTAGTGTGCATTGTGGTGCTGTGATGAGTCTGACTGTAGGATTTAAAAGTGGAGCTGAATCCAACAACCTGTGTGAGAGAACCGAGGACAGGGACAGTTGACAGAGCGAAATCCTTCATGTTGCTGTAATGGGTATAATTACACCAAGAAAAGGGCTGTTACGTTAAATTACCCGTAATATTCACCGTAGATAATGGCAGAAATTCAGAAGGTTAAATGACACCAGCAGCTGAATGACTTCTGACATTAAGGTACTATTGAAAAAAAGAACTACAACAGAGCTTTTGCAGGCAAGTTCAATACTTGGATGGTGAAAACTGGTGCAAAAAGACTTTTGAAAAGGACCTTTTTTTTGTGAACACCTGTGCCTTTGGAAGCTTTTGTGAGACAATAATTTAGTCTGAAAAACTCTGGACGAATTGATTGTTTCCAACAGAGAAAGCCATTTGAAGCTCACTTTGAGTTGCAGGGATGTCTGGAAATGTCCTGCTGAGTGCTGCAGAACTCATACAAGTTACCACAGCAGGGAAAGGCTGAATAAATCCATGCAATTAGTTGTTTTCATCACCTTGTCTCTTATTGCAATTTTTTTCTTCTTCCAAACAAGCTTGTGTATTATTATTATTTTTCTTCTTCAGGGAGAACTATATTCTCTGTGGTTCAAGTTCTGACCTTCACAGCCAACAAACAGCCCAATTAGTGGATGAGTAGGTGAAGGGGCCTGGCTCTGATCACCTCACAATTACCGCAAGTCATCCCACAAGCAACCGCCTACACAACTGCTTGTGCTGTTTGTCTAATGACCATGAAGAAAGACAAGAGAGACACTGTATTATTCCTCGTTTAATACTTACCTTRCTCCAGCTACGGACAGCTCTGCTTCCTTTATACTTCTCAGATTAAGTCTTAGTCAACTTTTCCCTCTCTTTAAACCTTAATTTACTGAAAGTTATCAGTCATGTTAAATGCATCCTGTTGCTTGATGACATGAGTTGTGTAATGGGCACTCAGAAAGCCATTTTATTCTGGATAAAATGGAACACGATGTTTGAAAAGAATAATATTACAGCATTTACTGGATGGCTATTCAACTGGGGGCCTCTGGCCTATGGGTGACTTCTGTCAGGCCCACCAATGAGCCCCCTTCAAAAATATTTTTTTACCTGATTTAATACACAAATAGATTTTAAATCAAGTCCTGATTCAATGCAACAAAATAAAAAAAAATTAAATGGTAAAATACTGTTACATACTGCAGTGTTTCATCTACCACAGTCCCACCCTCTACCCCACCCATGTCCAGGTCTGGAGCTGTTGGTTTTGAGTAACTGTTGCCTCCTGAGTTAGTTGAATAACCCTGATGTACTAATATACATTTTTATTAAAATAAGCAAAAATAAAACCAATTTTCCATACATAAAATAAATTTATAGCAACTGGTTTCATTAATTTAAACACAAATGCAGACAAAACACAAGTTGTTACAACCCAAATACAAAACAGCATCAGATATTATTTTAATTACCCGCTGCTGATTGACAAAGATGAACAATAACATTTTTGCACATAAATGTGTGTATGCGTGTCTGTCAGTCAACTTGACAGCCATTGCGTAACATTTGGAAGGGCAGTAGCTGAGTCATTCACAACACATACTCCAAATTCTACTCAAAATCTTTGCTTAAAACGTTGACATTAACTTGGAGTCATCCTAGTTTGTCTGTTAGCAAAATATCTCCTGAGACACAACATTGATTTTAACGAAAGATTCAAAAGGTATTCATTGTATATACATCTACAACTTATTACCTTTTAAAGTCAATCCATCCCAGGTGGCTCTCACAGTTAATCAATTTTCACCAACACAAAACTGGGTGTGTCATAGTTTCTATTATAGATATTGAGTAACAGACTGCACAGCTAATCAACATTAGTCAACACAGAAATGACATTAACAGACAATGAGTATAAGGTTTGATGTAAATKATCGTGTCAACTTCGCTTCTTAACACAACACGATTTTAGCTTAAAACTCTAACATGAAAGGCAGCAGATGGCATGCATTCCTTTAAAGATTGCTTTGATGTATAAATAAAATAAAATTTTAATTTTTTGCCATTAATCACGGTTAATAGTGTCCAACACACAGATCTGACACTTTAGATGTAAGACAAAATATATACAATACTTTTGATGATAATGTGAAAAGTTGAAAAAGTAAAAAGGACTCACTGAGATTGTGTTTCCTCTCTGCTTAAAAAGTATTTCAGACTGTTCTCAAAAGCCCATTTTGCAGCTACAGCAGGGAGCCTTTTTCAACAGAAACTCTCATACAGTAAAGTCGCTGTGCACTTGCTGCTCGGTGCAACACAACAGTCAGAAGAAAAGGCTTCAAGCTGAACATACAGTCTCAAAGCTAATAAGCTAAGAAGTACTAAAACTGCTCTCAAGACCTCACAGGGAACAAAATAGGGAGAGGGGAAGCAGGCCTGATAGAACATGAATGATCATGCTGCTCCATGCATTTTGTGTGTGAGGACAACTGTTGCTAACATGTTTCTTTAATAATGTAAAAAAAGTCACTGTTGTTCCATTTGAACTATTTTCGTGAAGCAAAAAAACAGAAAAATGTGTACAAAAGTTATGAGAACATGTTTTAAATGGGTCGTGATTATAAAAGCATTAGTTTTCATAGAGTCTATGCAGTTTAAAATGCATTTAATCAGATGTCAGAGACATTTATGGGTGTTCTTTGGTCGTAAGTGCTAAATTATCCCTTAAGATGTAATATTTTGCTTTTTCACCTTAAATATTAATATTAAAAATACAAATAAAAGTATATTTCAGAAGATTGTGTCCTCCTCTCCTCCACCATACCATGGAGTGAGTCGCATTAAACAGGGTCTGGGATTGCAAACAGGTTGCACCACTTCAAGCTCCAGAGATGAAGAGTCCAATGAGCTGAGAGACCCTGTGGGGGACCCTGACCCTTCATATGCGTAAGTCCGGAGGCAGTCAAATGGTGGAACATAAGGGTCTTGATCAGCTTCTGCCAGCCTGTCCAGGATAAACTGCCTGAAGACCTCGTCCTCTGGGCCAATGAGGTGTGACTCCCGGAGTGACATCCGTATGCTGGCCCTGACGTCCTCCCGCCGCAGCCTCCTCTCCCTTCTCTTGGGACGGGGCCGCAGCGGGATGACGGGCTGGCAGAAGTCCAGGTCAGCTCCTCCCTCTCCTTTATCTCTGTAATAAAGGACTTTCTGTGACACGGTATCGGGCAGCTCCAGCTCCTTCGTCTCCACGCCCATCTCCTCCTGCTGTTTGCGCCTGTGTCTCCTCACCATCAGCATTAGAACTGACAGCACTGCAGACACAGCACAGTAGGAGATCATTACATTTAAACACCAGGGCATGAGCTTAATGAGGAAAAAAGAAAGTAGGAAAAAAACATACGGTGCCTGATGGAGCATGAATGCAGAATATTCGAGTACATTGAAAATAACGATGTTCTACAGCTTATACAACAATTAAAATGAGGCAACTTCTGCAAAAAAAAAAATATAGATTTTTAAAATTTCAGCTCATATATAACATTTGTATTATTTTATCTGCTCCACTCGGTACCAAAAAAAAAAAAAAAACTAAAAGAATGTTTATTTTTTTTCAGCTATGTTTTAACAGGTTCTTGCCCTCTGTGTGTTAGCATAGCAGGTTTTGTCATTAATCTTTCATGTGATGGGCAAAGGGAAGACACAAAGCAGCTAAGGTCGTAATAAAGCTCTTCACTATGCAGGCCCATCAATGTCCCAGGCTGGCATTGGTACTGATGTATTGCAACCAATACACTCATTACCTGACATCACTGCTCTGCAAGCTTTGAGCATTATAATTGTGTGTTAAAGGCACGCCGATGAGTTCTAAACAGGCAGATTTAAATTAAAGTGCAAATTTGTTAATGAAAACTCTGCCGTTTAGCACACACTCACATACTTGCCAAACTGTTGTCAAGTGGAGGTGCTTTTGATTACATCTGCTGAAAAAGAACATGTTAAACAGGATTTCAATGAAATTGCAGTCTGATTTTATTGACAGACGTTTTAATATATTATTACAGTTTATCTTTTTCAACTATAGCTCAAGTGTCAAACCCTAATTATTTTGGGGAAATGCAGATATTTGGATAAAAAAGAGAATATGTATGTTTAAGTGTTTTAGCCTTATGTTTTGATGGTATTTTAGGAATCCCAAATGTTATTTCTTGTAAAAGAGGTCCCACATGTTCTAAAATAACACCCTTGCTTTTTTTGTGTAGAATGTCAAGAAGCATTAGAGTAACAAGTGTCATTACTTTTGTGTGTTTTTTTTAAATTCGAAATTCTCAGCAACAAGAAGGTTCAGCCAGACTCAGTGATGCCTTAAAAAACAGATTAGTACAAGAATGCCTATATTTATATATTATTGTTCTCCTCCTTACTGTTTTTTTTTTGTCATACAGTCACAGAAACATTTTCCACACTTACCTGTGAGTGTAGCCAGACAGACTAGAACTCCTAACAAGGTCTGCATGCCGACACTCATAGTCAGAGCAAGGGCC